TGTTATGTATATGTTGTGTGTTTAAAAACAAGTTTCCTCAGAAGTTCCACTAGGCAATACTGTTAGCCTGGCTTAGATTTTACCACCACCACCCCAAAAAAAAGTGATAAAATGAACTTTAAAATCGTCTGAAGGCAGTTTTCGTTCTAACTGCCCTTGGTCCTCAGCATACATGTGACAGTATTGAGTGTGTGGCTGGCACAGAACCAGGCTGTGTCCCTCTCTGCTGTACATCAAGCAAGAGGCTCATAACTGCAACCACTCCAACACAAAGTTGAAAACTAGTTATGAAAATAAGTCATCCGTACCAACTCACTTTACAGCAGATTAGGAGATTAGACGCCCTGGGATTCTTGTAGAAAGTCTTCATCAAGTTAAAGCAGCTTAAAAGCAATTCTTAAAAATATAATAAATGACACAGATTGACAAATGCCCTGGTGGTTCACTGGCCAGCCATGTGTCTGCTGATTCCAAAAGGTTGGCCCTCACCAGACGTCTTGTGGGGAAAAAGATGTGTCAGTCTATTTCTGTAGAAATTAATCAGGGAAACCCTATGGGACAGTTCTCCCCGGCCTTGTGGGTTCACAATGAGTCAGAATCAGCTCTGCAGCAGTGGACTTTTGGTTACAGACTGAATTGTTGTTACTATGTACTGTTGAGTTGGAACCAACACACATCGCTGTTTTGGAGGATTTTTCAGGGTTTTCACAGGCAGTAAATCTCACAGGAAAAGATTGCCCATCATTCTCTCGCAGAAGCAGCTGGTGGATTCAAACCAGATACCTTCAGATTGGCAGTGCAACTCCTTACCCCTAGGCCACCGGAGCTCCCTATAGACTGAATAGCAGTCGTATGAATAGTGGAGTATTGCAGTCCATCCTTGACTGTTTGAACTCATCCCAAGGTCATGTACCTTGCCAGAATAAACTATCTTTTTTGAAGTGTTCTGTCCAATTTTGAGATGTTTTCTACATTTGTAGAGATTAATGATTGCTCAGATAAAAATGAAAAGATGTGCTGATGTTTATATCTTTCCATTGGGATTTGATAGTCTCTTAAATATTTGAGGTGAAAATCTTTTCTGTTTTTCTTTTCTTTCCTTTTCCTTTTTTTCCTTTGCTTTTCATTTTTTTTTTTCTTAAATGGAAAAGCATGATGATAAGCAATTGCACAAACTCCAAGTACAGTGGTTGCTACAACTTTGAAACATACGAACCGACTTGCCATTGAGTCAGTCCATGACAATCCTTGGTATGTCAGTTCATGTACGCCACCAGCAAATCTACCCACCATTATTCCAGTATCATTAGTAAAATGTCAGTAATGAAAAAGGAAAGTTGCATATATAGTATAAGAAAGTAAATTTTAGTATTCGAACAAAAATATTTGACCAGGAACTCTCTAGCATTGTAGGGGCCTCCAAAGGCTCTGTTGGTGGAGCTGACGGACAAATACAAGAACTGGTGTACAGCCCATCGACAAACGAATGGATAGAGAAGCTCTGCTATATTCAGACAATGAAATACTATGCAGCACTGAAAAACAAGGAACTCATGAAATATTACACAAAATGGGTGACCCTGGAAGACATTATCCTGAGTGAAATAGCTGTCACAAAAGGACAAATATTGCATAGGGCCACTGTTGTAAAACGGGACTGACATCAGGGTTGAGGGAAGACAGAGAAGGAGGGGAGGAATGATGTATATATTGCATTGAAACAGATGAGGGAGAGAACTGTTTAAAAGGG